AGAAAGAAAGAAAGAAAGAAAGAAAGAAAGAAAGAAAGAAAGAAAGACTTAAGTCATTACAGTTCTATGATCATTCCCCAGGCCTTGTGTGCGAAAGCTTGACATGAAACAGAAAGGGGCATCCTGGCTGGCTCAGAACCAGACAAGCAAACTACTCATCTCGCTGGGAAAACAGCAGAGAGCAGCAGTCATTTCCCCCAGAGGCCGATAAGCTAAGGATCATGTAAAAGGAAGAACATGGAATTTCTGGCACGACACTTCAGGATGTGGCAGGCTACAATAATGCACGCAGTAAATCTGGGTCTCCGACACCTCTGTCTATATGCGCTCTTTCTTCCAAGAGAAAGGGGAACAAAATACAGAGTTGTGCCCAAAGGACACGGCACTTTCTTCGGAAAGGGTGGCCCCGGGATAATGCTTGAGAAGGAGATGGGGCTCAATGACAGCGGTGGGTTGGTCAGCTGTTTAGGTGGGCAGCGGCTCGATGGCTGGGGGAGGGAGGGGGACAACCCTTACATAAGAGGGTCCGGGGAGGCTGGGGATGGGGGCTCAAGCCCGGGGCGGGGGTTAGTTGCGGGGGGGAAGGGCGGAGGAGGCTCACCCAAGCGGGCAGGTCAGAGGTGCAGATGCTGAGCCGCACCGCCTGCTCCTCGTTCTCCAGGAAGGCCAGTGCCCGGTAGAAGCGGGAGGTCTTGTGGCCCTTGTTCCTCCGGCACCAGAAGAGCAGCAGCAGCCCCAGCAGTATCCACAGGAAGCTCAGCCCCAGGTAGCCCAGCACGTATACAGGGAACAGCAACACGAAGCTGCGGGCGAACTGCGCGCACAACCCCGCCAAGTCCACGCTCAGCATCGCGGGCGGGGGCTCCCCGCCGGGACCCTTGGCGGCGGCGGGGCCGGGTTCCCCCGCGGCCTGAGAGGCAGCATCTCCTCCCGGAGCCCTGTCCCCGGCGCCGCTCATCGTGCCCCACCAAGGTCCAACCGAGGGCGGCGGCAGAGGAGGCGGCAGCAGCGGCGAGAGGATCAAGCCCACGACCGCCCCCTTTCCCACCCCAGCCCCCGGCCCCCGGCGAGGCGCGGTGAGGAGAGGTTAGGCGAGGCGAGGCGAGGCGCGGCGCGGCGCGGCAGGGCGAGGCGGAACGGGCTGCGCTAGAAGCCCAGCGCCGGCGCTGGGGCAGGGGCCGGGCGCATCCTGCTCGGTGCCCCGAGCGCCTCTCACTGGGAGGGAACGGATCCTGCCGCAGCTCGCGCCGCCACCGCAGCCGCGCCCGCGCTCGCGCTTCCGCCTTCCAGGCGGCGCGTGACGTCAGCGCGCCGCTGCGGGCTGGCCGGCGGGCAGGGAGGGGTGGCCAGAGCTGGAGGCCTGGGCGTAGGCTCCGGCTACATGGGCGGGGGCGGGGGAGGGGTGGTGCCCTCCCCCCGAGGCGACCTCCGCGGCGCGCGGTAGGGGCTGCTGCTCCTGCGCTGAGCTGCCTACCTGCGGGGTCTGTGGGCTGCCTCAGCTTAGGAGGCGTGCGCGCTATTGAGACAGAGAGGGCTCCTAGGTGCTGGGCTGGAAAAGGGAAAAGTGGAGGGAGACGTCGCGGTCCTGGGCGTGGGCGCCCAGGCCCCAGCCCTCGTGACACCCCTGGAGCGATGCAAGTGTTCCAGTCTCCCCCGTGACCCAGGACTTGGCGTAGGGCGGGGGGTGGGGGGGAGAGCTTGCTGGCTATTTGACCTCTCGGGTCCTCTCCCAAATCCTGTCCAGACTCTTCTAAAGCCCACGGCAACGTTAGTGTGCGTCGGGGGTTAAGAAAGGAGTCGGAGTGTTACACGAGAGCATAAAGATGGTCGTCTGTTACTCAGTGGAATTAAGCTTTTCTTTGGGTTTGAGGTTAAACTTTCTGGTGCCTCGCTAGTTAGGGTAGGCGGGGTGGTTGTTTCTTTCAAGGTTTTTGTCGGGGTTTTTTCTTTAAATGACTGATAACTTCAGATAAGTTTGGAACTCTAATGCATTGTTGAGATCACTCTAGGGAGTTTTCAAGGCTCCCTTTTGCAGTAAATTCAATCAATATTCCTGTCTTGCCCAGGTTAAAGCCAAAAGCAAAGCAGTTAAATGTTCAGATCGTTCAATTCAGTGCACTCAAGAGTCTTTAAGCTTTAATAGCTTAAAACTGAACTGAGACTTTTGGACCGCCTTCTGTTTTATGTTAAACAAGGACCTGAATTATTTCAGTCGACTTTAGGACGTCAGTGCTTAAGTGTCACCCAACTCTTTATTAGTCACTCAGTGCATTCTTCCTGTTTATTTTAAGGTAGAGATTCTTGATTATTAGGTGAGAGCACTGTGAAAATTTAAACAAAATAAGGTTATAGGTGATTCCAAGGTGGCAGACTGGTTTCCTACTCTCATGTGACTAGAGCCCTGAACTTAGGGTCGGGAAGATCTAAGTTACAATTTGTCTTTAGGCACTTATTATCCATGTGACCCTGGGGAAATCACTTAACTGATCTGTGCCTTAGTTTCCTCAGCTGTAAAATGAAGATAATGATAGTATTTAAACCCCCAGGGTTGTTGTGAGCATCACATGAGATATTTATTAAATGCTTTGCAAATCTTGGGGCAGCTAGGTAGCACAGTGGGTAAAGCGCTGGGCAAACGCTTACTAGTTGTGTTACCCTGGGCAAATCACTTAACCCTGTTGGCCTCACTTTTCTCATCTGTAAAATGAGCTGGAGAAGACAATGGCAAACCACTCCAGTATCTTTGCCAAGAAAACCCCAAATGGGGTCACAAAGAATCCTACAGCAACAGCAAATTATTATTATTATCCAACCTTATCTTTTATTGGCAAAATCACACATTATGAGGAAGGGAATAACTTGGTGTAGTGGGAGGAATAATGAATTTGGAATCTGAGTTCCTTATGCAGGTAATATTTGCAGATTGTGTTTGTGGCCTTGGATAGCTTGTCCCTTGACTTCCCCTGAAGTCGTTTCCTTATCTCAGAAATGAAAAGTTGGACTGGATGGCCCCTCAAAAGTGTCTTTTATTTCTGTGAACTTTTGAAAAGTTTTCTCAGTGAATGATTTAAAAAATACATATTCCAAGCACTTACTACCTGCGAGCCTCCGGTAAGTACTGGGGAGAGAAGTACAAAAGGGAGTCTGCATTCTAATATGTGCGAGACAAGATGTAAAGAAGGGGTGTCCAGGCAAGGGGTTTTGATCTGGAGAGTCACAGAGATGATACATTCATCCGTAAGGAAATCAATTGATGCATCCTTTCCCAAGCAATAATAGTATTTATTTTATTGATAGGTTCAAAGCAATGTGTTCCTTACACTTTAAGGGTGTCAGGTTATATGGCAGCAGGGCCAATGGCAAAGATAGATGATATGGCTGGATGTTGTTATTTGTTGTTTGTCCTTTGTTCTGGAAGAGGCCCAGTGACATCAGGAGGGTGATGTTTTGACGTGCAAGTGAATTGGATTTAAGTGACGCAGGGCTGTGTAGTTATCAGCCTCACTCTCTTTTCCAGAGTTATCTGAGTCCAGTGGCAAGACGTAGATCAGGATGACTGGTGATGGCCCCAGATGCGGTGGGAGTCATTGGCCTTTTTAAGTTAAGGTTGTTCCTAGGTCTCAGTTTGTCTGAGGCAACACCCATTCAGTGATTTAAGGCCAGGTTAGAAATGAGGCAAAAGATTGTCTAGTTTGCATATTCAAAAAAAAAAAATCTGGAAGAGGAACACCCTCAGGATTTCTGGCCGTAACAGAGGATAGATGGGATAAGAGGTATGGTCTCATCTGGTTGGCTAAACACAGTGGCCTAGATGAGTTTGCACTCACTCACCAACCAACACAACTAAGATCCACAACAGAAGTTCCAAAGCCTATTGAATTAACATCCCCAGAAACTGGTGGCATGGTTTCATACTGGAGAGTGTCTAGAGGAGGGCAGCTAGGACGCTGAAGGGCCTTGAGGCCATGAAATGAGGAGAGAGCATGTTTAGCCTGGAGAAAAGACTCAGAAGAGATATGATAGCTGTCTTTAAATATTTGAAGGGCTATCTCCTGCTTTCAGAGATAAGAAGTCTTCCTTGGAAGTCTTCAAGGTATATGATCACTTGTCAATTATTTTATGGTGATGGTTCCGTTTGTGTATGGGTTGAAGTAGTCATTAGAAGCTCACGGAGTTACCTTGCGACTCCTAAGTTCTCTGGTTATGATTCTGAGATCTCACATCTGTAACTTTTCCCTTTACTTTCTTAGCATCTATTAGAATATAAACTGCATGAGGGTAAGAATTGTTTCATCAGGTATACATCTACCTACAGGGCCTAGCATAGTGCCTAGAACATAGTAGGTGCTTATTAAAGGCCTGTTGATGGATTGATCCAAGAACTGGGTAGCTGATTAGGAAGAAATGTCTCTCCTTGTGTTCCGTCCTTTTCAGTCATAATCCCATTTGGGGTTTTCTTGGCAAAGATACTGGAGTGGTTTGCTATTTCCTTCTCCAGCTCATTTTACAGATGAGAAACTGAGGCCAACAGGATTAAGTGACTTGCCCAGGGTCACCTAGCTAGTAAGTGTCTGAGGCTGGATTTGAATTCAGGAAGATGAGTTTTCCTGATTCCAAGTCCAGCTAGCATCTAGCTGCCCCTACTTCTCTCCCTAATTGTTTCCTCAACTTGATGAGCTCTTTTCATGAAGCAACCATTACATTAACGTAGAAAACTAGCTTCCTATTGGAAGGAGCACTGGATATGGAATCAGAAAACTTGGATTTAACCTAGCCCTGCTATTGACTAACAGATTTTTCTTACTGGTGTAGCTGGTAGAGTCACTTTTTCATCTCCTAAACCAGTGCAAATTACAACTTCTCTGATTTAGTATACATTCTTTTAAGAGTTGTTGTATATCACGTTGGCATCGTTGTGAATTTGTCCAACCACTCCAGGAAGCAATTTGGAATTAGGCTAAGAAAGTGAATTAAACATCCATACCCTTTGACCCAACAATCCCACTGCTGGATGTATACCCCCCAAAAGTCAGTGATAATAGAAAGGTCCCATATACACTAAAATGTTTATAATAGTATTTTTTTTTTGTAGTAGCAATGAGCTGAAAACTAAGCAGATATCCATTACTTGGGGAGCAGCTAAACAAATCGTGTTTCATGAATGTAGTAATGGAATATTACTATGCCATAAGAAACAAGCAATCTGACAAATACAGAGAAGCATGAGAACTCAAAGTCATGTCAAGTGAAACAAACAGGGCTTGGTTAAAATATGCATGCATGCATACACATGTATGTACGTATGTATGTATATATATATATGTATATAGTTCCAGAGACAATTTCTGGGTAATTAATCATTTTATTAATTAGGGCTTGCAAATAATTAATAAAAAGATTGGTCATTTGGCTGTCTCTTGTAAACCAAAGACAGATCATGGAGACCTATTGACGCTTAATATGCCCTTGGAAGAGTGGGTGTTCCAGACAAATAGCAATCAACTCTGATTGGTTAACAATTAATGAGAAGAATGAATATTATAATGAGAGGTAGACCTATTATAATGAGGGACTGGGGGAATGTGGACTTTGATTATGTCACTCTTACTCCCACTCTGCCCCCAGCCCTGGACAATCTAGACAAAGGTTCTACATCCCCCCCACCTACCCACCCAAGCCTGAGTAGAGTATAATGAGCTTCCCCCCTTGGGTAGGGGTTCGAACAAGATTGAGGAGACAGTTAATCAAATCTCATTATCAGCAATATCCTTTAGATGCTGACTGAATAACCTACAAGGTTATTCTACAAGGTAGATTTCTGAACGAGGAACTAGAAAGGGGAAAAACCTTAATCCTAATTCAATAATTGGTCATTACTATATGGGAGAAATAATCATTTCTCTCAATATATTTACATTTTATACATATATTTGTGTGTGTATATATGTGTGTGTGTGTGTGTATATGTATGTATGCATGTATGTTGGCTGCAAGGACATAGGTGAAAGGACAATAACAGCAAAATAATGGAA